CCCCGGGGGGACGCGGAGCGGCGCGGGCGGTGCGGGGGTTCCAGTTCCCGGCGGCTGCGGGGGAGCTGCGGGCGGGGCCGGTGCCCCGGGGCTCTGCCACGCTCCCCCGTGACTCCCGCAGGGCTCCGCATCGCGGCCGGTGGTGACTCCCCATCTCTCTCCCAGGGCCTGATCCGGAGCTGGGAGGCGTCCCCAGGACCCTGTCCTGAGCCCGCGTCAGGGCTCTGAGCGGCAGGAGGGATCCTGGGCCCATCCGGTGCCAAAGATGTTCCCGCAGAACCGGCCCCCGGTGAGCCCGCGGCTCGGCCTCGTCCACTCCAGACCATCAAGCACACGGTGCTGCGGCACGGTGCTGGCCGGGCCCTTGAAAAGTTGTGCCGATGGCGTGTAACGTGCTCAGGAGTAGTGTTGTGGCTCTTCCCAAAGTGGTGCTGAGCCCCAGTGCTGCGGGGATTTGGGTTTCACGATCACGGCGGAGGCAAGATTGCAGTCAGGGTGTGACCGTGGGACCGGTGACAAGCGGGTGGGCAGCTCTGCTGTGTGGCACGCGGGCAAGGATGTACCCCCAGGGCCAGGGGCTGCACGCTCTGTGCCACCCGTGGCTGTTAATCCTCCTGTTCTGGCTCAGTGGCTGAGCCGATGCTGAAAAAGTGGAGAACCCTTGCCCTTGGTGCCTGGCTGTAGGCATTTCCCTCTGCACTAACTCTTTCTGTCTCCTCCTCCATGTGCTGCTCTCCCAGATGGCCCGTAGCCTCTTCCCCGGGTGCAGGAAGCCCCTGGGGGACTCGTGAGTCTCGCTGGGCCAGCAGCAGTGACCCCGGGGTCCCCTCCTCTGCCTAGGCCCATCTCCAGGCACCCTCTGCTGCCTCAGGAGCCGCTGTTGCTGCCAGTGCCATCCCCAGCACCCCCCAGTCCCTCAAGCTGACTTATCCGGAGACCCTGGACCGCATCAAGGAGGAATTCCAGTTCCTGCAGAATCAATACCACAGGTGAGGAGCTGCCAGAGCTTGCGTGCCAGCAAGGCACTGGGCACTGAACTGGTGCTGGTGAGAGGCGGGCGGCCCCTCGGCGCTGGGCATCGCTGCGGGCTGGCGGGAAGCGCTGTCCCGTGTTGCTGCGGGCACCGGTCCATCTGGAGGACGGCTGTGCCAGGCACCACCTTGGTGGTTTGAAGTGACACTGTTTGAGGGGGAAGCTTGCCCTCCTCCTGCCAAAAGCCATGGGACGAGGGTGCTGGCTTCCAGGACCCGGCTTCTGGGCTGAGCTGGAGCCGTCACTTAGCAGACCTGGAGTCCCTCTGGTCCCCCCTGCTGCTGGCCAGGATCACCTCCCCTTCCCCGCACGGGAGCAAGGTTTGAAATGCAGCTCGGCTTGGCGGCTTGCTCCATTTGGGAAGCAGATGCTGGGGAGGGGGTTAAGACTCCGTGCAGATTGCTCCCTGACGCCTGGATCCCTTTGCTGTCCATCTCCTCTTTATCAGCCCCTTCCCACCCTCTTTCAGGTGGTTTTCTTGGCTTGTGCTGGGAGATGGGTTTGAATCTGAGAGCAGGAGGCTGAAGCACGTGGTGTGCTGGGGGGGCTCGTGCTCTCTCCAGCCTGGGAGATCTTGTCTGGGGGGGAGCAGGGGGTCTCTCCCTCTCTCTTCCTCCCTCTCTCTCTCTCTTCTCTTTATTTTTACAGCTTGAAGTTAGAATGTGAAAAGCTGGCAACAGAAAAAACAGAAATCCAGCGTCATTATGTCATGGTTAGTGAGCTCCACCTGAAAGGAGGAGGTCGGTGGGGGGTGTCTCCTCTGAACCATCAAAGGACACGCAGCCGTGGGATGCTTTGGCTTCCTCTTGCGTTTGGGTTGTGTGGCCAGGCCCTGAGATCTGGTTCCTGTGGTTGTTATTGTCTGTCTTTCCCCCAAAATGAGCAGTGGTGTTTGAGCAGGGCTTGCTGCCACAGCCCGTCGTGCCGAATCTGCTCCTGTGTGGGTTGCCTCCTTTCCTGTGGGCTGTGACTGGGAGCCCAAGCCAGGCTGTGTCCTTTCTGCGGCCGTGTGCCAGAAAGAGCTCCTGGGCGAGGAGCTGGGGACTGTTTTCTTCTCCTGGCCTGGCCACGGTGTGGGCCTTTATGGCTGGTCTGACCCCACACGCCAGCAGTAGGGTTTCTGTTTGTGCGTCCCCCGAGCTTCCCAGCCATGCTGATGCTGCCTTCTCTCCCCCGCAGTACTACGAGATGTCCTACGGCCTGAACATCGAGATGCACAAACAGGTGAGTCTGGGTGTCCCGGCTCCCCTGTCCCCATGTCCCCATGTCCCCACCCAGCCCTTCGAGGTTGTCCCTTCCCACAGAACGCATGTGAAGTCGTTCCCTGTGGTAGCCCAGGGAAAGCCGTGCTTGTGGGGCCGCGCTGCCTTCTCTGTGTCTTGGGGGCTCTGCCCTGCTCAGTGTCACGGCCTTGGGCCTGTCTCAGCTCTCTGCACACACGCGTGTGCTCTGGTGTGAGCTGCCATGCGCTAGCTCAGTTTGGGGAGCATGTTTGTGATCCACTTGTTACAGTGGGGAGAGAGCAGCAGTGGGTCACGTGTGCTTGCACGACTGCTCATGCCAGTGGTGAGTGGCCACTTGGGGACTGTTGAGGAGGAGACTGGCTCCCGCAGGACAAGGGGTGCTGCAGTGTCAGGGCAGGGTGATGAGCTCTGATTTGCTGCCTTTGCCCCTGTCCAGGGCCAGCTGGCCCCAGGGGCCAGGACTGAGGAGCACTGTGAGGTGGGAGGAGGGGGCTGGGGTGCAGGGTGGGCTCCCCAAGGGCTCGGGGCTTTGCATCCCCCCTCGCTGCATCCCCATCCTTTCCTCCCTCCTTCCCTCCCGCTGCGCCGCGCTCCAGGTCACCAGCTGCTCTGAGACAGAAGGTTTCTTCTCATCTATTTTTAAAGAGGCTGCGGAGGAGCCTGGCGGGGCGTGCTGCAGCCACGGCCTCCTTCCTTCCCACCCCGCGCCCCGATGCCGCTGACAACTGTTGCACGGGAGCCGGTGTGGGGGTCCCAGCCCTTGGCTCCCCAGCACAGGGCAGGCTGGTGGCCGTTCTGTGCCCGCTGTGGGGGGTGTTTCTGCCTCTCCTGGCATCTCCCGCCCTGCCCCGTGCCACTTCCCAACTGCATGAAGCCGGATGAGGAGGAGGCGTGAAGCCACCCTTGCATGGGGCGATGCCGAGGGTCCCCGTGGCCCGGCACCCCTCCCCGCAGGGCTGCGTGCTCCTCTCATCTGGCTGCCGGTTCTCCCCCGGCCCGCGCAGGCTCGCGCTCTCGGCCAGTCCCAGGTGCCGCTGGCTGCAGGCCAGCGAGCTGTCTGCACTTTTAACGAGGGCCCGCGCGTCGGCTCTGACAGCCAGCGGCCATTGTGTGAGAAATGGAACTGCCTACGCGGGAGCCGCGGGTTATCGCTGCCGCGGGGAGATCGGGTCGCCATTTCTCCTCACTTTCCCCCAAATCCGGCACTGCTCCTGGGCTCGGGCCGGGGTCCTGGGTGCTCTCAGCTGCCTGGGACCCCAGGGGAAGCGCTCGCCCCATCGGCGCTGGCGAAGGCAGGGCAGTGCCGTGGTGCGGTGCTGCCTCCGTCCCCGCTCTGGCCCCAGCGTCCCCCAGAGGCTGCCCGGGTGCCCAGCTCCTGTGGCGCTGACGTTGGCGGCGCTGGCACCAACAAGGGTGAGACACGGGGTGGTTTTGCCCTGGTTTGTGTGGGGAGCAATGGGGCTGGGGGGCTGGCTGCGGTGCTGCAGCTCCCCAGGCAGCCACAGGCTTGGCAGGGGAGGCTCGAGACAGGAACGCGCAGGAGACGTTAATTTTTTATTGTTGTTTTGGTTTTTGCGTGGAAGGGGCCTGTAGTTTTTCATAAAACCACCTCCCCGAATCTGCCTGGCCTCGGACTTGCTCACCACAAGCCAGAGGGGAGGTGACGGTGCTGGTGGCTGGGGGGGCTGCAAACAGCATGATCATTTTTCATGCTGAGAGCGTTAAAGTGCCAGTAAATTGCACATTAACGAGTGCGAGTGAATTGGAGGCAGCTCTCCCCAAGGAGCTGCTGCCCATCAGTGCATTAGGGAAGAGAATCCATCACTGCCGGCCCCGGGAGACAGCTAAATCCTTCCCAGAACTGCCGGCTGCCAAATCTCCGTGCTCCCCCCCTCCCTCCCCCCCCTGCTTCTTTCCTTTCTTTCTCTTTTTTCCTCCTTCAGAAGGGGAAGCAAGGGCGGGTGCTGGATTGTTTCTGCTCTCTGTGGCTCTGGCAAAAAAGGGTTGTTGGCTGCTCTGGAGGGTGGCACGGGGTGTCCCTGGGTCTGTGTCCCTGCACCCGCCGGGCAGCGTTGCAGCCCCTCGCCCTGACACTGCAGCACCTGTGCCAGCCGGGAGCGTGCGTGGAGCGGTGTCTGCTCTCCTGCTGTCACCCGCTGGTGCTCGGGGCAGGGGCCTGACCCTGTAGCCAGTGGGGATTCTCCCCGGGGATGTGTCCGTGGGGCCAGGGATGGCTTAATGTCTGCACTTGCCCCCGGCACAGCACGACGCCACGCTCCCTCCCCGCGCTGCTCCCGCTGCTGATTGCCTGTGGCACTCGAGTGTTGCAGGAAAACAGCAGCTGTAAGGAGAGCACCTCTCCAGGGCTTCCTGCGGGCAGGAGAGCAGCAATTAGCGGTCGTGGGGCTGGCAGGAGGCGGCGCGGAGCCTGCCGGGGCCTGACCTGCGGGCTGGGGCTTGCCTGGCCATGGCCTTCGGTGCCGTGGGCCACAGGGCTCCCTGGGAGGGAGGAAGCTAGAGCCATCCTGGTGCACTCGGAGAGGGATGGAGGATGCTGGGCTCTTGGGGACAAGTGCCAGCACCCAGTGGCTGCTCAGGTGGTGAAGCGGGGGCCTCTGCCTGCCCATGGCGGGTCTCTGGTGGCATTGGGGCTGCTTGGCGTGGGGCAGCTCTGCCCCGTGCCCTGACACTGCCTCTCTCCTGCTGCCAGACGGAGATCGCCAAGCGGCTCAATGTGATCTGCGCCCAGCTCATCCCGTTCCTGTCTCAGGAGGTGGGTGAGCCCTCAGGCCCTGCTGGGCTGGGGGGGGCTGGCTTTGTCCCATTCCCTGAAGGAACAAGCTGGGGGCAGCCCCTCTTGCTGTGGGGGCATCTCCCGGTGCCGACGGGCTCCTCTCTCCCTGCAGCACCAGCAGCAGGTGGTCCAGGCCGTGGAGCGTGCGAAGCAGGTGACTATGACCGACCTGAACGCGGCGATCGGGGTACGTCAACCCTCTGCCCGTGTCCTGGGCTCCCGCAGGCAATGGTGCCTCCCATCCTGCTGTCCCCTGGGCTGGAGACCTCTCCTGCCCTGAGCCCGTGGGGGTCGGCTGCAGCCCCCCCTTCCATTGTCCTTCCCTACCCGTGGCTGAGCTGGAGGGGGAGAGGGGGGACAAGCCAGGCTGGGTTGGGGGGCTGCCAGCGGTACTCAGGGTGGAGGAGATGCTGCTGCAGCAGTGTCAAAGCAGGGTGTGGGGCTGGTGTGTGTCACTGTGTCCTGATGCTCTGTCGCCGAGGTGGAGGGGGGGGTCACTGCTGTCCCCACACCTTGGTTATTCCCTCAAGACAGCAGTGGTACGGGTACGGATATGGGCAGGGTCCCCATCCATGGGGATATGAGTGGGGTCCCCAATCTATCCCAGTAGCTCCTGTTGCAGGGTGGGAGGAGGCAGCAGGAGGGACGTGGTGGTCCCCGCAGCTTGGCTGGGGCCACCCTGGGAGTGTGTCCTGTCCCTCCTCGGCCGGGTCCCTGTCCCTGGGCTGACCCAGGGCTGCCGGTGGGGAGGAGCAGCCTCTTGACCCTTCCTGGTGGCCATCCTGACGCAACCCCGGGGCTCTGCTCTCTCCTGCTCCTCTTCAGCACCAGCTCCAGACCCAGCATCTCTCGCACCACGCTCCCCCCATCCCACTGACCCCCCACCCCTCTGGGATGCAGCCCACTGGCCTCGCGGGCATCGGCAGCGCCTCGGGGCTGCTGGCGCTCTCAGGGGCGCTGGGGGCCCAGGCCCAGCTCCTCGCCAAAGACGACCGAGGGGTCCATGACACTGAGCCCAGGGGTGAGCATGGGGGGACAGGAGGTGTGGGGGGGTGTCTGATGTCACCCTTTGGTGGTGGGAAATCCTGGGAATGGGTGGTGCTGGGTCCTGGGGCTGCCTCTGCTCCCTGTGGCCCCTGGAGAGGGGCCAGGGCTGGATGGGGGGCGGCTTGTCTGTGCCTGGGGGCTGCTGGAGGAGCTGGGGGCTGGCGGAGCAGGGGGTTCCCGGGCAGGAAGGGTTTGGGTGGGGAATGTCCCTCATGGAGCAGCACCTCCAGGGAGGGCAGTGGGGTGGGCTGCGGGGGGTCATCCCTGGTGGGGTCCCGGGCCATGAGCACCCTGGCGCCTGTGGGAGGAGCGGGCGGCTTTCCTGGGGGGCTCTTGGCAGTGGCCCACCGTGTCCCTTCTTCCCTCCCTCTCCTGCTGCCCTGCGTTGCCACGGCGACAGAGCGAGACCCTGGCCCCGTAAGTGCCTTTTCCTTCTCTTGCACCATTTCCCTGCGCCTGTGCTGGCTCCGTCTGGGACCCCGGGGGAGGGTGGCTGCTCAGGAACAGGTTCTGGGGTCCTGCTCCCTAGCTGAGGCCCCACTGCCAGCACAGAGTGGGTGGGTGCTGTGCCAGTGGGGACCCCTTCCCCATGTCCTGTGGGCGAACCACGCTGTCCCCCCAAGCAGCATCCCCCTCGCTCCTTTGGCAGGAGCCAAAGCCCGTGCTGGTGGCTCGGGGAGCTGTACTGGGGCCCTCCAGGAGCCAGCTGCAGCTTTGTGTTGGTGCTGCCCATCCTGGGCGCTGGGCACAGTGGCTGGTGGCCCCTAACACTGGTACCACTGCTCCAGAGCTCCCTGGTGCTGCCCAACGGGGAGCGGGCACGAGCCATCTCCGAGTACCTGAGCAGCAGCAAGAAGAGAAAGGTGGAGGAGAAGGACTTCATCACAGACTATGTGAGCCTGGGGGATCGGGGCCGGGGGGCTTAGGACATTCCCATCCCCTCTTGTGGGGCGATGAGTGAGACTGCCCACACCTCCGGCCCTTCCCAGGTGGGAGTGAGGGCGACCGCAGCCCCTTTGGCTCCAACTGTCCTCTGTTTCAGGGCAGTGACGCGGACAAAAGCGAAGACAACTTGGTGGTGGATGAGGTCAGTGTGCCAGGCTCTGCCCATCCCGCTGCCAGAGTAGGGGGCTAACGCACTGTTACAGGTGGAGGTGGGCAGCAGGGGGAGGTGGCAGTGGGACCCTCAAGCCGTGCTCACCATCCCTCGCTGGTGGCAGCAATGAGCCCCTGGATCCAGGCTCCCAGCCTGACCCTCATTCGAGCCACCAGCTTGCCGTGGCCTGGGGCGTCCCCGTGCTCCTGCCTGCTCTGCTGCCTGCTGATTCCACTCCCCCCCCGCAGGACCCCTCTTCCCCGCACAGCGTCCACTCCTACTCGTCCCGGGAGAACGGGGTGGAGAAAGTCCCACTGGGGAGGAAAGAGGCCGTACCACTCAGCCCGACCTCCATGGCCTCCTCCAGCAGCACGTCCCCTTCTCGGAGCAAGGATGCACCCGTGGTACGTGTGCTGTGTGGGGCAGCAAGGCCCCCTGCCCTCACATCCCCCTGCCCAGCTCGGCTGGCAGAGCCATGGGTTCACCTGCCTCCAGACCCATGGGGGCACAGGTGATGCTGGGGGACAGGGGGGACTCCTGTTCCGTTAGATCCCCTCGTCCCATCCTGCAGACCCTGCAGTGCTGGCTGGGCTGGGCTGCCATCAGGGGTGAGGAACCAGGACCAGCATGCTGGGGGGGACCGGAGGAGACCCCCTGGCAGGCCATGAGTGTGGCTGTCAGATCTCCTCACTCTATTCCCGGTAGGTGGAGAAGGCTGGGACGCCCAGCCTGAAGTCCAGCACCCCAACCTCCCAGGGGGACGCTGTGGCCCCAGGCTCCAGTGGTGCCCAGCAGTTCCGTCCCGCTGCCGCCAAGGCCCCTGTGGACCCGCTGGGTGAGCTTGGCCCCACTGGGGCGCAGGCGGGCAGCTCCAAATGCCAGCCCTGCGAGGATGGACCCTGCGCCCTGTCCCTTCATGTCACCTCTCCCCCAGCAGCCCTGGGCCTGAGGAACCCGCTGGGAGTGCAGAGCCCCTACTCGGCTGCCTTCGGCATGGCCCACCCCGCAGTCAACGGGGACATGGCTGGCACTGGTGCCTACACCAGCCTCCACCTCATGTCCCCGCAGCTCAACGGTGCTGCAGCTGCCGTGGGAGCCGGCAGCTACGGACGCTCGCCCCTGGTGCGTGAGCCTCTCCCCATGGGTGGCGGGGGCCGCGGGGCGTGAGCTGCTCTCACCCACTGTCCCTCCAGGTGGGCTATGACCCGCACCCCCACATGCGCGTCCCAGGGCTGGCGGCCAGCATGCAAGTGGGGACGTCGGGGAAACCGTAAGTGTGGCTGTGCTGGGGGTGGGGGACAAGGTGACTTGTGGGGGTTAATCTGGGAGGCACAGAAAGCTGGGGCTAGCAGGGATGGGGGGCACAGCCCAGAGGGGGGGCACTGGTCCAGGGCAGCAGCTGGCTGTGGCGTGCCCAGCACCACTCTGCTCATGGCTCCGAACCAAACCGCGCTGGGTCCGATGCAGTGCCAGCTGCTCACTGCACAGGATCGTCGGGTGGTCCTCACTGCTCTTCCCTCTTCCAGTGCCTACTCCTTCCACGTCAGCGCCGATGGGCAGATGCAGCCCGTGCCCTTCCCCCCCGACGCTCTCATCGGCTCCGGCATCCCCCGTCACGCACGGCAGCTCCACACCCTGACCCATGGCGAGGTGGTCTGCGCCGTCACCATCAGCAACTCCACGCGACACGTCTACACCGGGGGCAAGGGCTGCGTGAAGGTGTGGGACGTGGGGCAGCCGGGCACCAAGACGGCTGTGGCTCAGCTGGACTGTCTGGTAAGGGGGTGTGTGTGGCCTCTATGGCACAGCTTGGCCCTGCACCGTGCCAAAGACGGGGTCTGGGGGCCCCATCGGGCTATGGCACAGTAACAAACTGGGGGCTGGCGGGGGTGACGGCTCCGGGGACAGGGAGGGGTGGGAGGCACAGCCCCTCCCCCAGCCCTGCTGTCCTGGGAGGGCAGCTGGGGGTCTGCCCCACCACTGCTGCTCCTGCCCCCGGGATGAGCTGCCGTCCCTGGACTGAGCAGACAGTCTGGAGTTGGGGCAGAAAGGCAGGAGGGGAAGGGGTTAACGGGGTTCCTCCCTCCTGCACCCCAGAACCGCGACAACTACATCCGCTCCTGCAAGCTGCTCCCCGACGGCCGCAGCCTGATCGTGGGGGGGGAGGCCAGCACCCTCTCCATCTGGGACCTGGCGGCCCCCACGCCCCGCATCAAGGCCGAGCTCACCTCCTCGGCCCCTGCCTGCTATGCCCTGGCCATCAGCCCTGATGCCAAAGTCTGCTTCTCCTGCTGCAGCGACGGCAACATCGTGGTGTGGGACCTGCAGAACCAGACCCTGGTGAGGTGAGACCGGGGCACGGGACCGTGGGGAGGGCTGCTCAGGGCTCCTTGGGTCAGGGACAAATTGATCCCCTCCAGGGTGTCCCCACGTCTCCCACAGTTTGTCCCTGGCTATGGGACAGTCCCTGTCCTTGCAGTGGGGATCTCCTGCTCCTCAAGGCTGGGTGCTGCCCGTCCTCATGGCCATGCCCTCGCCGCTCTGTCCCCCTCTTTCCCAGGCAGTTTCAAGGCCACACAGATGGTGCCAGCTGCATCGACATCTCTAACGATGGCACCAAGCTGTGGACAGGGGGACTGGACAATACTGTGCGGTGCTGGGACCTGCGGGAAGGCCGTCAGTTGCAGCAGCATGACTTCAGCTCCCAGGTCAGGGCTGGGGCCGGCTGGGGGCTCCCCGGGGCCGGCTGGGACCTGCCATGGTGGTGCCTGACCCCATCTGTCCCTCCAGATCTTCTCCCTGGGGTACTGCCCAACAGGAGAGTGGCTGGCGGTGGGCATGGAGAGCAGCAACGTGGAGATCCTGCACGTCACCAAACCAGACAAGTACCAGCTGCACCTCCATGAGAGCTGTGTCCTCTCCCTCAAATTCGCCTCCTGCGGTAGGTGTCAGTCCTGGGCTGGTGGGGTGACTGCATCTCCTCACCTGGCCCTGGGTCCCAGGGCTTGTTGTGCTGAGGACAAGCACTAGCTCCAGTAGCCACCCCAGTTGTGTGTGGTATCCCTCAGAGAAGGGGCTTCCATGGCTGCACCCTCAATTCTCTTGTCCCAGGACTCCCCTTTGTGTTCCTCAAAACAACCCCTTGGATAATGAGGTGACACCATGCTCCTCTTTGTCCCTTCTTTCCCTCCCGCAGGGAAGTGGTTTGTAAGTACAGGGAAGGACAACCTGCTGAACGCCTGGCGGACACCCTATGGAGCCAGCATCTTCCAGGTGCGGGGTGTGCTTAGACCTTGGGGTCAGGGGAGATGTTCCTCTGAGGGAGGTTGCCTAGAGCTGGGATGGCCCAACTCAATGCTGCTCTAAATGTATTTTGACAATAACGAACCCCAAAACTTGTCCCTGCAGCCTCCCCGGGCACAACTCCGGTCCCCAAGGTGGGGGAGCGGAACCTTGCTTGGGGTCTGCTTCTTGCACTTACCCCCTGCCCTCCTTTCTCCAGTCAAAGGAAACCTCCTCCGTCCTCAGTTGCGATGTCTCCACGGACGACCAGTTCATTGTCACCGGCTCAGGGGACAAGAAAGCTACGGTTTACGAGGTCATTTACTAAGGGCGAGAGGTGCCAACTGCAGGGAGGGCCCACACCACATGGGCAGGTGGATGCCCATGGGGATGGAGGGGTGGCTTCTACCTGCCAAAGACCATACAGCCCGTGGCCGGGCGTCGGAGCCGGAGGAGAGGGGCCAGGGGTGGAGGTGGCCCTGGGCCTGTGGCCAGGCATCACACTGGGCTGGGAGGTGGCGGCTGCTGCTCACAGTGGGGATTTTCTCCCTTTTTTGTTCTTTATTTGTTGGTTTGTTTCTAAATCTGGACTGAGGGACTTGGGCGGGGGGGGAAAGGGTCAGACATTGTTAGAATTTTTTTGTTTGTTTTTTATTTTTTTTTTCTTAAAAAAAAAAAAAAAGCCTTTTTGTTGCATTGTTTTTGTTGTTGTTGTTATTAAGGCTTTGGGCCAGGCCAGGGAGGATGAGCTCTATCTTCATCTCCCTCTGTGTGGCCTGGGGTGTATTTAATAATAAAAACAAAATAAAAGCACAGCTGTTCCTTGCCCCGGGCAGAGCCGTGGTGCCCCATGGTGTTGGGCAAGGAGGGGTGAGAGGAGGATGGCGATGCCTGTGGCTGCCCCCACTCCTTCCCCTTTCCTGCACGGGGCCGTGTTTGCTGCGAGGCTGGCAGTGGGACGGCGATGGCTGCCCTTGGCCCGGCGCTGGACCTGAGGGACAGGACACGCAGTGGTGATAGCCGTGATGGCGGCGGTGGCTGTGTGGTGCCGTCCCTGGAGCAGCCCCATACTGCGGGGTGCAGGGAAGAGGCCGGTGCTGGAGGAAGTGGGTTTTTTTGAAGGAAATGAGATATGAGCAGTCGGCGCTGGCTTATCGGCCTGGCTCTGTGCCAGAGCTGCTGTGGGGGAGCAGGGCCGATGAGAGCCCTGGAGCACAGCCCAGCAGTGGCCGGGGCTGGCTGGGATGGGGTTGCCGCAGTGCGGTGGCCACACTGTGCTCCTGCCCCGAGGCCCAGCTCGCCCCATCCTGAGCCAGCCTCAGGGCCACCCCCTGCTGCAGGGGAAAGGCCGCTCCACTGCCGGCCAAGAGAGATGGGGGACACTCCTGGACCCCCCCCGTCTGCCCTTCACTGCCCAGCCCCTGCCACGGCCACTGTGGCCTGGCAGAGATCCCAGGAGGGGCTGCAGGACTGGAGCAGGTCCTGCTCCTGGGGTAGGTCCCTGTGCCAACACCTGCGGTCGTGGGAGGGGACCAAGCCCCCTGGCCAGGGGCAGGGCTGAAGGCGCCATTTCAGGGGCTGTGGGGTGAGCGGTCGGCTCCCTGGGGACAGGTCTCCATTGGTCCTGCAGCAAGATCAGCCCCTGGCCCACCAGCAAACCAGCTGCTCTTTTCTTCCTTTTTATTAGTAAGGGATTGAAAACACAATTAAATACATTTCTTTACTGATAATTTACAGCTGTTTCTGCAGCAGAAAATAGGCGCCCTTAAGTCAGTAGCAGTATTTCAGGAGCAACACTACTTCAGCCACTGGTGGCCACCCCCCCACCACGTCCAGCTCCCCGTGCCCCCCGCCCCAAGGGACAGACCAGCCCCAGGACCCCCCCAACCAGCCCCTGCCGGGCCTGGGGGACGCCTGACCCCAGTGCCCCAACCCCCCAGCTCTGCCCATCACTCCCCGGGCAGGGAGTGGAGCTATGGCCTGGGCCTTGGCTTGGGGACTGAGAGGACGAGGAAGAGGAGGAGGATGCAAGCCGGGCTGCGGGAGGGATGGCCCGCACAGGAGGTCTCCCCCCCTGTGGTGGCTTTGGAGAAAGCCTGGCCCCTTCCCTGATGGAGGAGGGAGGGTGAGGGATGTGGACTCAGTACACCACCTCATACACTGTGGCCTTCTTGTCGCCAGAGCCCGTAACGATGAATTTGTCATTGAGGGAGATGTCACAGCTCAGCACCGAGGAGGACTCTTTAGACTGAACGGGAGAGAGGCGGAGGGTGAGGGCAGCGTTGGTGGCTGCAGCCACCCTCATCCCCCCCTCCAAATGCCTCCCCCGCACCTGGAAGATGCTGGCTCCGTAGGGCGTCCGCCAGGCGTTCAGCAGGTTGTCCTTCCCAGTGCTCACGAACCACTTCCCTGGGGCAGGAGACAGAGTGGGTCAGCATTTGGGACTAGGCACAGGGGCAAATAAAAAGGACCCCTCTCTGGGGCTGAATCGAGCAAGCCCCTGCTCCAAGGCTGACACAGCCAAGCAGAAACCACAGATCTTGCCTACCGCAGGAGGCGAATTTGAGGGAGAGGACACAGCTCTCATGGAGGTGCAGCTGGTACTTGTCTGGTTTGGTGACGTGCAGGATCTCCACGTTGCTGCTCTCCATGCCCACCGCCAGCCACTCTCCCGTTGGGCAGTACCCCAGGGAGAAGATCTGGAGGGACAGATGGGGTCAGGCACCACCATGGCAGGTCCCAGCCGGCCCCGGGGAGCCCCCAGCCGGCCCCAGCCCTGACCTGGGAGCTGAAGTCATGCTGCTGCAACTGACGGCCTTCCCGTAAGTCCCAGCACCGCACAGTGTTGTCCAGTCCCCCTGTCCACAGCTTGGTGCCGTAATTAGAGATGTCGATGCAGCTGGCACCATCCGTGTGGCCTTGAAACTGCCTGGGAAAGAGGGGGACAGAGTGGCGAGGGCATGGTCATGAGGACTGGCAGCTCCCCACGAACCAGAATTTTCCCCCCATGTTCCTGTGCCCCCAGCCCCTGCCCCTGCCCCGGTCTCACCTCACCATGGTCTGGTTCTGCAGGTCCCACACCACGATGTTGCCGTCGCTGCAGCAGGAGAAGCAGACTTTGGCATCAGGGCTGATGGCCAGGGCATAGCAGGCAGGGGCCGAGGAGGTGAGCTCGGCCTTGATGCGGGGCGTGGGGGCCGCCAGGTCCCAGATGGAGAGGGTGCTGGCCTCCCCCCCCACGATCAGGCTGCGGCCGTCGGGGAGCAGCTTGCAGGAGCGGCCCCCCGTCTGCCCTTCACTGCCCAGCCCCTGCCACGGCCACTGTGGCCTGGCAGAGATCCCAGGAGGGGCTGCAGGACTGGAGCAGGTCCTGCTCCTGGGGTAGGTCCCTGTGCCAACACCTGCGGTCGTGGGAGGGGACCAAGCCCCCTGGCCAGGGGCAGGGCTGAAGGCGCCATTTCAGGGGCTGTGGGGTGAGCGGTCGGCTCCCTGGGGACAGGTCTCCATTGGTCCTGCAGCAAGATCAGCCCCTGGCCCACCAGCAAACCAGCTGCTCTTTTCTTCCTTTTTATTAGTAAGGGATTGAAAACACAATTAAATACATTTCTTTACTGATAATTTACAGCTGTTTCTGCAGCAGAAAATAGGCGCCCTTAAGTCAGTAGCAGTATTTCAGGAGCAACACTACTTCAGCCACTGGTGGCCACCCCCCCACCACGTCCAGCTCCCCGTGCCCCCCGCCCCAAGGGACAGACCAGCCCCAGGACCCCCCCAACCAGCCCCTGCCGGGCCTGGGGGACGCCTGACCCCAGTGCCCCAACCCCCCAGCTCTGCCCATCACTCCCCGGGCAGGGAGTGGAGCTATGGCCTGGGCCTTGGCTTGGGGACTGAGAGGACGAGGAAGAGGAGGAGGATGCAAGCCGGGCTGCGGGAGGGATGGCCCGCACAGGAGGTCTCCCCCCCTGTGGTGGCTTTGGAGAAAGCCTGGCCCCTTCCCTGATGGAGGAGGGAGGGTGAGGGATGTGGACTCAGTACACCACCTCATACACTGTGGCCTTCTTGTCGCCAGAGCCCGTAACGATGAATTTGTCATTGAGGGAGATGTCACAGCTCAGCACCGAGGAGGACTCTTTAGACTGAACGGGAGAGAGGCGGAGGGTGAGGGCAGCGTTGGTGGCTGCAGCCACCCTCATCCCCCCCTCCAAATGCCTCCCCCGCACCTGGAAGATGCTGGCTCCGTAGGGCGTCCGCCAGGCGTTCAGCAGGTTGTCCTTCCCAGTGCTCACGAACCACTTCCCTGGGGCAGGAGACAGAGTGGGTCAGCATTTGGGACTAGGCACAGGGGCAAATAAAAAGGACCCCTCTCTGGGGCTGAATCGAGCAAGCCCCTGCTCCAAGGCTGACACAGCCAAGCAGAAACCACAGATCTTGCCTACCGCAGGAGGCGAATTTGAGGGAGAGGACACAGCTCTCATGGAGGTGCAGCTGGTACTTGTCTGGTTTGGTGACGTGCAGGATCTCCACGTTGCTGCTCTCCATGCCCACCGCCAGCCACTCTCCTGTTGGGCAGTACCCCAGGGAGAAGATCTGGAGGGACAGATGGGGTCAGGCACCACCATGGCAGGTCCCAGCCGGCCCCGGGGAGCCCCCAGCCGGCCCCAGCCCTGACCTGGGAGCTGAAGTCATGCTGCTGCAACTGACGGCCTTCCCGCAGGTCCCAGCACCGCACAGTATTGTCCAGTCCCCCTGTCCACAGCTTGGTGCCGTAATTAGAGATGTCGATGCAGCTGGCACCATCCGTGTGGCCTTGAAACTGCCTGGGAAAGAGGGGGACAGAGTGGCGAGGGCATGGTCATGAGGACTGGCAGCTCCCCACGAACCAGAATTTTCCCCCCATGTTCCTGTGCCCCCAGCCCCTGCCCCTGCCCCGGTCTCACCTCACCATGGTCTGGTTCTGCAGGTCCCACACCACGATGTTGCCGTCGCTGCAGCAGGAGAAGCAGACTTTGGCATCAGGGCTGATGGCCAGGGCATAGCAGGCAGGGGCCGAGGAGGTGAGCTCGGCCTTGATGCGGGGCGTGGGGGCCGCCAGGTCCCAGATGGAGAGGGTGCTGGCCTCCCCCCCCACGATCAGGCTGCGGCCGTCGGGGAGCAGCTTGCAGGAGCGGATGTAGTTGTCGCGGTTCTGAATTGGGATTACAGGGAATGGGGCGAGTGAAGGAGCTGGTCAGTGTATGGAGGATGCAGGAGACACATCTCCTTTCCTCATCCCAGACATGAAAGCACCCTCTGTCCCCTCCCTTGTAACAGGCACATTCCCCTTCCCCACACAATGTCGTTCTGTTCCTCCCCTTACCAGACAGTCCAGCTGAGCCACAGCCGTCTTGGTGCCCGGCTGCCCCACGTCCCACACCTTCACGCAGCCCTTGCCTCCAGTGTAGACATGCTGTGTGGAGTTGCTGATGGTGACGGCGCAGACCACCTCGCCATGGGTCAGGGTGTGGAGCTGCCGTGCGTGGCGGGGGATGCCGGAGCCGATGAGGGCGTCGGGGGGGAAGGGCACGGGCTGCATCTGCCCATCGGCGCTGACGTGGAAGGAGTAGGCACTGAAGGAGACAGAGACAGGACTGAACAACCCCTGTGTGAAGCCAGAGGGTGGGAACCAACGTCTCCCATTAGCCAGGCTCGGGCCAGGTGGAAGGTGCCCGGTGCACTTTGGCTAATGAGGGCTATAATTAACCAGCTCCTTGTTACCACCAGCTGTCCAGAATGAAAAGACAGAATTGGAGAGAAATCTGGGCAGGCCTTGCCCTGCCCCACAGCTCCTGGGGGTAGAAATGAACCCTGGAGAGGGAGACCCCCCCCGTGCCCACCCCGTGCTGCCTGGCTTGGCCCCTTGCTGCCCACCCTCCTGCAGCCCCCTTGTGCGCCCACACTTACGGTTTCCCTCCAGAGATGGTGGAGAGTGAGGATGAGATGGTGGAAGCCCTCAGGTGAGGGTGTGACTCAAAAGCCACCTGCACAAAGCAAAGGGCACATAGCGACCATAGTGCCAAAACCCCAGAAGGGGACACAAAGGCTGGATCCTGCCCTTCCCCTGTCCCTCAGTCACTTACCATTGGGGACCGGCCGTACATCACGGCGCTGCTGACCTGCGGCGCGAGGTGGATGCCCATGTACATGCTGGGGGCTGGGAGCTCCCCGTTGAGGGTGGCGTGAGGCACCATCCCAAAGGAGGATGCGAAGGGGCTGGAGACACTCAGTGGGCTGCGGAGAGCTGCACAGGGAGAGACCCACTCATTGCCCTGACCATTTCCCTGGTGTGACCATCACCCAAGAGAAAGGGGCATCTGGCACTGAATCCCGACAGCGTCACCTCTGCACAGGGCCCAGCCGAGCCTGGCACAAACCAGCAGACGAGGAGGGAGGCAGTCAGGTTGTGGGCTGAAAGCCAAAGACCAAAGGCGAGGGTCAGCCCTTGAGTCCCATCAGTCATGGATGCGGGACACAGTTCCAGCATGGATCAAAAGGCTCCATCACTCCAAAGGCCGTGCCCCAGACCGGCCATACCCCAGAGAGACCCTCCTCTGCTGCCAGCGCCTTCTCGGACTCGGCCAGGCCAAAGCACTTGCAGTTGATGGCTAAGTGCCTCTTCCTCCAGGGTTTTGATGGTTTATTGAAATCAATTCCAATTCAATTTTTGCTAAACCACTGTAATTTTCTAGCCAGACAAGGGTTTAACATCTCCAGTCCTGGTTCTATTTCTTCCTTGGGCTAACTGTCCTCTTCCCATCACCTTTTGGTCCCTTTGGCTAGACAGCAGCCAAGCTGTTCCAGAAACCTCTTCCCAAGGCTTCCCTAAATGTCTTCAAGGAAACTGAGGCAGGAAAATGGGGGTATGACCAGTTCACCACAGAGGCCACTACTGAGTGCTCACCCGCCTCCCCTTGTGCTTTCAGGAGAAGGTGGTCCCACTGACAGGGTCTCCTGGGTCAGCTGCATCTCGCCCAGGGTCTCACCCAGCGCATGCAAACCCTCACCCTGTGTGGATCCTCAGTGGCACAGGGAGACCGGGCACGACCTGCCATCCTGCAGCCCCATGTGCCCAGTGGTGGTCGTGGTCGATAAGTTTGATTACGTGGAAAAAAACTAGTCCCCCAGCTCTGCTGATGTGTCCCGCCTCCCTTCCCTCGCCCCAGCCCCACAGCAGCACCTGCAGCAGAGCCTGACACCCCCGTGTCCCCCCACACTCACTGATGCCGTCGGTGGCCGGTGCCTTGGCAGGGGGCGGCCGGAGCAGCACAGCTGAGCTGGGCCCGGGGCCAGGTGTGGGGGAGTCACGGGGCGGCGAGGAAGAAGAGGGCTTGGAGGTGGGCACGCTGGCGGGAGGGTCAGTCTGCAGGGTAGAGGGAAGAGCAGCCTCAGGGGTGGGGGCAGCCACCCCCAGCTCCGCACACCAGCCAGCAGCCTCCAGCCACTGGGAGAGGAGCAGGCACCAAGAGCACTGCCCCCAGACAGAGCAGGACAGGGGGGGAACTCGGCTGTCATGGGCCCGAACCCACTCCCTTCCTCCTTTCCACCCTCCCCATGGCGTGGAGGGGGGGACCCTCCCCACATCTCCATCCCCCCTGAGTGCAAACACCCAATGCAAACCCGGGGTCACCCCAAACTGCCCCAATCCCACACCCCTGCGGCACCCTGCCATCGGCACGGGGCCTGAGGGGACATTGTACCCAGACCTGCTGCTCCCTCATGTGAAATCCCTCCTGTGTGGGGGGACCCCCCAGTGCCCAGCCCCACAGAGCAGGACCAGGATGCCTGGGACCAACCGGACAACCGGACGCTCTGATCCCCACAGCCATTTCATTCCTGTCTTTTTTCTTGCCTCTCCTATTTCTTCTCTTTTTCTGCCTGGGGATTTTGTCGACACCAGCAAAGGAAAAAAAATTAATAACAGAGAAAAGCTACGTGCTGTGCTGGCAGATTGCTCAGGGCGCTTTGTCTGCTCTAATCCGATTGTGCCAGGAGCCGCTGCTCGCTGCTCCCGCGGCCCCCAGCCGGCTCCTGACCCTGGGATGGCGGGGATGCATGGCCTTGGTCCCCATGGTGCTGGGAGGGATGAGGACTGGTAGAAATGTCCCTCCCCCTTCCCACACGCTGATGTTTCAATCTGAGCATTGGGCTGGTGCTTGGCAAGGAGGAGGGGAAAAAAAAAAGAATCGATTGCTGAGAGCAGCTCTGGGGAATCCTGCCGGCAGCTGGATGGAAATACCTGCAGAGCCAGGGCTCTGCCCAGCCCATCATCAGCCTCCCTCCCAGGGCCGGGCCTCTGCTCCCAGCGCTGGGGAGGCCGGTGGGGGTACCAGGCACCCGGCACTGGCATCTCCTCGCCCACCTTCAGGGCTGCAGCCAATGGGCCACATTGAAATTCAGGGCCATGTTCCCAGCCCTGCTGCCCACCCCCAGCCCGGGGGGGCCATGCTACTGCCTACCAGCATCTGGTCCTTTGGCTTGAGGGGCGTCGTGCTCCGGCTGGAGGCGATGGAGGCAGGGCTCTCGGGCATCTCCTGGCGGGACGGAGGGGGCCGGCTGCTGGGCGTGCGGCCGGGGCTGCTGGGCTCTGAGTGGGGATCCTGGGGGAAGAGGAGATCTCTGAGATGCAGGAACCCCAGTCCCTCTGCACAGGAGGGCAGGTACAATAGGGGGCCTAGAGAGACACCCCCAGACCAGAGCCCAGCAGGGACCGTCAAGCCCCGTCCACTCCCTGCTGCCCGTTGCCCCCTGTCTCCCTGAGTGGCATTAACAAGGAGCCTCCCCTCAGAGGCCTCAGCTCTGCTGCATGAGCCTCTGGATGAGAAACCTCCTTGATTTTTCTCTTTGAACAAAATCAGAAGTGACAGCAGATTCAGAGGACGCTGGTGACCACGGGTGCCTTCACAAGGAGGGATGAGACCAGCTCACCCGAGGAACTGAGAAAGGGCCTCCTGGCAGCCCCTTGACAGCATCTCAGCAGTAAGGCCACCCTTCAGCTCTCACACTCCTAGAACCATTCAATTAGGACTGTGAATTTTATCACCATAATTACACCGACGAGCAGTTTTTATAAGTGTCGTTCTCTGCAGAAAACCCTGCTGATGTTCCTTTCAGGGCTTGGGAATTGTTAGGAGGAGAAAAAAAAAAGAAAAAGAAAAAGTGTTGTCCCTCCCCCCAGTCTTGCAGGGGAGGAAAATCAATGTCCCCAGAAACATCATCTCTACCAAGAACACATCAGAGCAGGGCTGGCACACACTCCTGCCTAGCAGCAATGACCGGGAGCCTAACAAACCTTGGGAACCAGAGTGCTAAACCTGATGACCACAGCTGGAGCTGGACACCCTGTGGGGCTTCAGCACACCTTGAAGGGTGGGGGCTTACCTCATCCACCACCAGATTGTAGTCGCTCTTGTCCCCATCGCTGTCCTAGGGGGGAGAAACCCAGTCAGGAGTGGGAGAGGCAGGACCAAGCTCCGGGCCCTGCCCCACAGGACCCCGACCAAGAGAGACTCCATTTTCCCCTCACATCACTTCTTGTGGACCAATGCCATGTCCTGCCGGCAGCGACTCAACCCTCTGCCCAAGGGTCCTCCCCCGGGCTCTTCATTTTCTTGGTTTCTTTTTGCAGGATCACAGCTCCCCGCACTGAGGGAGGCCCAGAGCTCCCGGTCACCCCGTGCCCCATCCTGTCCCCGTGCCACGCTCCCACTGCACTCACATAATGCCCGGGCAGGTCCTTCTCCTCCCGCTTCCGCTTCAGCTCTGACCGCTCCTCGTCCTGCAGGCTCTCGGGAGGGGAGACAGAAACGCTCTGTGCCAGAGAGGGAGGAGGAAGGTGTATGAGCAGGGGGGGAGCAGGCAGCCCTCAAAGCCCTGCCAGCCCCGCTTCCTCTCTGGAAGAGACCTCCCGGTGCCCAGCATCCAGCCAGCTATCAGACCCATCAGTGCCACAGCCGGTCCTGGGCATGGGAGTCCCCTTTCCCCACCGAGAAGATGTCAGGGCTAAAAGGGGAGGCACAGCTGTCCCCCCCTGCACAGATACCTGTGTCACCCCCTTACTAGCATCCTGCACACCCAGGCTGAGAGTCCTCTAAGACCCAAATTCACCCGGTGACAGAGATGGGATTTAGTCTGGTGCTTTAAGCAAGGATGGGGAAGACATTTCCAGACCCTGGGCTCTCACCCAAATTTATCCATTCAGCTCTGATGGGGCAGAGGGAGGGGGAGCAGGATGGGGACTGTCCCCAGGGTTGGCTGCCCACAGTCTCCTACACGGACAGGAGGCAGATATACATTCAGGGTGCTCAGAGACTCGCCTGTGTCCAGCCCCAACACGCCATCCCTTTCCCAGCTCGCCCCTGAAATCTCCAAAACCGCTGCCCTCATCCCTTCCTGCATGAAGCCAGAGCTGAGGAAGCAGCATCCCCAGCGTGGGGGAGAGCAGACCCGCCCCTTCGGGAGATAACCAGGCATGGCGGAGTGGAAAATCCCCACTGGAGCCTTGTTTACTTCGCCTTAACCCTGCCGCTGCAGAAGCTGGTGGGCTGGGAAGCAGGATGGGGCTGAGCTGGACAAATGTCCCTTCCCTGAGATATTGCCAGCAGCCGCAAGGGTGTCCCAAATCCCCTCCAGCCCCCCCACGCACTGCTCGGAGGATGATAATGCAATCAAGTGATGCCTGCCCACCCGCAGAGCCCTGCAAAGCAGAGGAACACCAGCCTGACACCGGTGACCACAGAGGCTGCCCGTCCTCCCACAGCAGCCGGGGCATTGGGCCAGGGCAGTTTCTGGGGAATAGCCCCACCGACCCTCCAAGGACTGCTCCTAGAGCCGTTTGTGCCAGGGGCTGGGAAGAAAATGCCCCATCCCAAACCTCCCAGATGGCTGATTGTTTCCAGCCCACACATCAGGAGAACCCAGTAGGAGACCTGGAGCCCACAGCAGAAGGGGAGCAGGGTGCCTGGGCTGTGGTGTGCCAGGAAACAATGTGGACCTGCTCTATCTCTGCCCTCCCCGAGGAGCCCTGCAACCTCAACTTGGCCCCGGTGTGAAGGAGACCCCAGTCCCCACCACTGCCTCCCAGGCTGCCGCCGGGCAGCTCGGCCACCTCAGGGCTGTTTGCTCTGAAAGGGTCAGGAAACAAAACATTCCTGGAAACCCTACTGCCAGCGCTTGCCAAGGGAGCCCGCTGTGGCCCCTGCGCCCGCTTGGCTGCCAGTGCTGGCTCCGGTCACCAGCGTCCCCAAAGCCAAATCCACCACCGCCACCAGTGTCCCCTCTGCAGCTCGGCTCCCCCAGCACCCCCAGGGGCCAGCTCTGCCTCCTGCCCAGAGACCTGGAGATGCTCGAAGGGACCCGGGGGCTGTCGGGGGGAAGCCCATCCACTTGCCCACACATCCAGGCCAGCCGCGGCCACTGGCCCAGCCAGAGCCAGGCAGGACTTACCCGGCTCGGGGTGCGCTCTGGAGCCCAGGTGGCAGCAGGGAGAGCATCCAGGCAGGTCGGTGTCAGGGAGGCAGAGGGGAGGAGAGGAACAGGCCATTAGTGTGGAGGCTGCACCCAGTGTACGGGACAGGGAGGAGAGGGGGGCACCACAGGGCACCTTGGGAGGAGACAGCAGGCTGAAACAATCGCACCCGATTTCTCACTTTGCCCATCAGCAGCACGTATTCTCTGATGTCTAACCACTCCTCCTTGGGGAAACAGGGTGAATCTCTATTCACCCACCTACTTTCAAGAAATTCAGTCCAGCTTTGGAATCTCTTCCCTGGACATGGTGACAAGTCTAAGGGTGCCAGGAGGGGACGAGCCAGTCAGCCAGCTGAGACCTCCTGAATCACACCCATCCTATGTCCTTAGGAAGCCACGCTAAAAAGCCCTGCTTGGAAACCCTCTGAGGGTTTCTGACATGCACAACAAAACAAGTCCACCTCCCTAAGCTCAGGGAAGAAGTGCCAGGCATTTGCTGCAAACCTAAGCATAGGTTTATGGGATGGGGTCTAGCAACCCTCCCCACTTGATTTCGCTCCTAAGGATCACATCAGCATTTGGAGAGAACAAACTGGTCCTGGTCTCTGCTGGAAGCAGGCGGGTACCAGGAGACGGAGGGACCTTCTGTGTGGGCAGCACAAAGCCACCTGGCACCTCAGCCCTGGCTCATCTTGATCCACACCAGCTCTGGCTGACCGTGGCACAGCACCAGAGATTAACCCAAGACATATATACGATGTCATTATTATTTTTTTAAAGGCATTATTCTGGGTGTCTTTGCACCCTCTGCCACTGGATGCCCCTGCCAAGGAGCAGCTCTGGGCTGTGCAACGGGAGGCAGAGGCTGCCGGGTCTCTAAGGGTTAAGGCAGGCACAGAACAGCCTGCTTTTATCCTCTTTCTGGAGTTTGTTTTTCTCCTCCGGGGGAAGGCCATCCTTAAAGAAACACTGACAGAAATAAAACCACAGACACCTGCGTGCAGCGGCAGGGAGCAGACACGGACAGTTTCCTGCTGCTATTTTCACCACCTTGAAGTCTTAGAAGCAAAACTGGATCATTAGGAAAATGCAACAAACCCCTCCACTGCCCAGTTTTTCTGTTACCGTTGGGCCCTGTCCCAGCAGCATTTCCAGGCCCTGAATTGGGGACATTGGGAGCAGCCAGCACCTTCCCCAGAGGAGCATTGCTTTGGCTGCTGAATTTTACTGCCTGTTTCTAGCCTGTGGGGCTGCCCCGAGCCCCCTGCCCATGCCTCAGCACCCCCCTCAGCAAAACAACCCGATGCCCGCGCTCGGCAGAAGGGGACGAGCTTAGAGCAGCTTCTCCTTCATGCAGCACTTCAATAGCCACAAGCCACCAGCAAAGGTGGGTGGTGTTATTAATTTGGCCCAGGCCTGCCAGTAGCGTTCAGAGCACTGATTTAACGATGATTAAATATTGATGATGTTTGTAAAGCACTTTGTGATCCTGATGGAGGAGGCACCCATAAGGACGAGGAATTACTGCTATTTACAAGGCACCACACACACAATAAGGCTCTGCTTTCTAAATTCCTTGCCACAGACCCATGGTTCCCACAATTTCTACCAGGGGCTTGCAACAGTACTTTCCCTTAAAGTCTCGGCTTTGGGCATCAGATCTTTGCATGGTGTAAACAGAGAGGGTTTCTCGGGCAGGGATCTCAGGTCCTCCCAGCTGGAAGGGTGGTCCCAGGGGACCCTCACAGACTGGGAACCCCCAGGGGAGCAGGAACACCCCTGTGTGCTCACACAGCGCCCAGAGCCCCCTGCCCAGCCCCCGGGGTGCACACACAGCCACCGCCCCGCCATCCCTGCTCAGCTGGTCACAGAGCCAGCCTCCCAGGACTGCAGATATTTAATTAGCTTGATCCGTCACTCGCAGCACTTCCCGCTCCCCCTAGCCCCAGGGAGCAGCTGCTGAGCATCGGGGAGCCCTGGCAGAGCAGGCAGCGGGATCCCTACAAAGGGTTAATCCAGCTGTGCTCCCCCTTACCTCTGTTCTCCCCATCCTGGGCCACTCTGTCCTCCTTGGCAGCCAGCTGGGACTGTGCCATCAATGCCCCAGAGAGGGCCAGGAGCCCCGAGGTGCCGCTGGCCCCACTCAGGCTGGAAGGTGGCATGCCGGAGGGGTGGGGGGTCAGCGGGATGGGGGATGCATGGTGGGAAAGGTGCTGAAGCTGCTGCTGCTGAAAGAGAAAGAGCAAATGGTCCTGGATGCGGGAGGGGTCGGCCGCAGCCATGCCCACATCCCTTGGCGATGCAAAGAGCGATGGGATGAGACGGGAGGTGAGGAGGAGGAGGGGAGCAGGGCTGTGGAGGCTGCACAGTCCGGAGCATATCGCCTGCCCCCTCCACCCGAGGCACCCCAAGCTCCTCCCTGTCACAGAGGGATCCCAACACGTGGCAGATCAGGGCAGCAGGGGCCCGGGAGAATCCCAAAGGCCACCCACTGCCTCCGGGACACTGTGACAAACCCTCTTGCTGGAGGGGACCAGCCCTGGGCTTACAGAAGCAGTAGAGACCCTGGCTCCCCATCAATGCACCACATGGTCCAAGCCCCTGACTCACCCCGACAATGCTGTTCAGCTCCCCCATGGTGACCTGCTTGGCCCGCTCCACAGCCTGCAGGACCTGCTGCTGGTGCTGGCAAGGAAGAGCACCGGGAGGTCACACCATGTTCCTGGCTGGAGGGACCCCACGGCCCAGCATTGCCTCGGGCTGTGCGGCCCCCTCTCCCATCCCTCCAGACGAGGCTCCTGAGGGCCTCGGGAGAAGCCCGAGCCGTCTGGTACATCCCCTGCCTCCCCCCTTACCTCCTGCGTCAGAAAGGGTATAATCTGGGCACAGATGGCACTCAGTCTCTTGACAATCTCTGCCTGGAAGAGGAAGGAGGTATCACCATGGACGGGAAGGCTCTGAGCCCTGTCCCATCCCCTCCAGCGGCAGGGAGGGCAGCCAGGCACCCTGCGGACACAGGCAGCCTCTGCCAGGAGTTCACCCCCCCCAACTTGCTCAGTGTAAATCCCACTGCTGCCTCTGCTCCCTGATGGGATTTCCTAGGCTGCTGCCAAGGGAGGACTCTGCCCAGGGCTGTGGGACCCTCCCAGGCTGTCAGGTCCCCCCAGGCACACAGTAGGGAACCCGACTCCTAAATCTCTCCATGGATCCAGGCCAAGCCGAGCTCCGAGCTGTCAGTCCTTTCGCAGCCCAGCTGGCTTTGCTCAGCCCAAACCCATCTTGGCTTTGCGGGCTGCCGCTCTCGCAGCCAGCGGGCAGGCTGGCAGGGAGGGAGGAGAGTCAAGCCACAAGCGCTGGCAGCTGGCCACCGGCACGCTGCTCGCTCCCTGAACATCGCACTCCAACCCAGGGCAGAGCAAGGGAGACGTAGAATTCACACAAACGAGTTCAGCCCCCTCCGCATCGCGCCAGCAAAGCGCCAACGGCAGTACCTGCTCTGCCCTCCCCACTCCCACCCCTGCTGAAGCCCCCGGCAGCTCCCCCTGCCCCGTCCCGGGGAGCAGAGGCACAGAGCACCCCCAAAACCTGTCCCCTGCCCAGTGAGGAAACATCAAGGACCTGGCGCATTCTCTGCTCAGCCTGCGGTTACAGACAGACCCATGGCCACATTCCCAGCAGGTCAGCGGCACTTCCCAAGGGAAGGGGCTGTGGCTCCCAGCCCACTCTCTCCAAAAGAAAACCCACACCTCCCAGGGAAAACTTGATCCCCCCCTCCCACTGCAAATCCACCCCGGCACCGGCGGAGGGACTGGCTGCTCTGAAGAGTTCTCTCATCTCAGGTTTCCGACAATCCCTGACAGCGTTCAGAGAGGTCAAACCAGGCACAAAGCGGCACAGAACAAAGGGGACATTTACCTGCTGCGTTCAAAGGCTGCCTGGCCCCAGGAGCTCCCCTTCGCCCACCAGCCCTCTGGTCACTGTGGGTCCCGTGTCAGCCACTGCCCCCACGCAGGACCCCAGAGACCCCTCTCCAGACCTCTTCTGCCCAGGCAGAGCTGGGAGCCGGACCCCAGGTGGACCAGGGGTCCCTTCCCCACCCACTTGGCCATCGCCTCTGTCACCCCACATGGCTCGGGCCATCCCTGGGTGCCCATCCCACCCCTGGGCACTAGTCCCACCAGAGCCTGGTGCACGTGGGGACGGCAGGAACGTGCTCGCAGACTCTGCGACTCTCCCTGCTAACAAAAGGAGCAAACTCGAAGGGGCTGAGCCAGCTGGAGGAATATGGCAGTTGACTTGCCACTTTGTCAGGCATTGGTCCAAACTAATTTCCCTGGCAGAGAGCCCGTGATGACTAGATTGATAAATCCGAAGAGGGAAAGCAAATTAACGCTGGAACAAAAGGGGAACCAGGGAAGGGTGAAAACACTCCTCTGGCTTCAGGAAAGGAAAAGGGGATTAAAAAAAAAAAAGAAGAGGAGAGGAGGAGAGGAGGAGAGGAGGAGAGAAATAAAAAGACAATCCATTTGCCTCTGGGCTCCAGCTCCTGCTGTTTCCTCCAGGGTCCCTCCTGCGTCGGGGGCCCCAGTGTGCAGGGTTCATGGCCAGACTATGAGAGGTGCTTCGAGATGGCAGGGTAGGAACCCTGTCCCAGGGCACCCACCTCGACTCAACAGCGTATGGACTGACAACAGCCAAACCCCGTTGCACGCACAGAGCCCTGCTCTGGCTCCCAGGCCGTTACAGCTACATGGGGATGAGGGAGATCATTTTCCAACAAAGCCCCCTTCCTCGGCCTCTTCCCCGCCACCCCTGGCTGCTGGCCCAGACCCCACCTCACTCACCTGCTTGTGCATTTCGATGTTCAGCCCGTAGGACATCTCATAGTACTGACAGCAAAACAGAACACAGCAGGGTTAGGGGCCACCTAGACCAACCGTCCGGTGGCCAGCCAGGGGCTCAGCAGCCCCACTCCCCCCAGCCAAACCCTGCCGCTGCTGCCAAGGGTCCCTGCTCCCCCCAGCCCATCAGAAACAGCATGTTCAGCACAGTACAGGCTGAGACCGTGCCACCAGCCTGGGACAAGATAGGGAGCAGCCACAGCATGGGCTGTTTAACACCCGTGATGATCACACTGCAGTTTCTGCGTTAGTTTAAGCCAGCCCCGCTGCCCCCCACATCCCCTCCTGTCCTGTCCCTTCCCACTCCCAGCCCCCACCCAGTCACAGGGTGGCCATGGCCACACGAAAGCAAAGGTGGCATCGGGTCACCAGTCACTAGTGACTCTGGCAATGGTGACAGCAGCAGACTCTGTCCCCTTGCCCCTGAGGATGGGGAAGGGGGCACCAGAGGACCTGCCTTCCCCCAGCAAAGCCCATTTCAAATGTGGCAGCCCATCCCTGGGAATCCCTGAGCCAGGATGTGAGGACGGGGCCTCAAGCTGGTGGGCGACAGGAACATGCCCTGCGATGCCCTTAGAGCCAAGTACACCCCCAGCCTCAGGGACAGGGCTATTGTCACCCAGGGAGTGGGGGTTGCCCAAGTTTAGGTCTGTTCGCCTTTTGGGCGGCATAATTTGGGTTCCCCCTTTCCACAGAGGGGCCGTTAATGCCAAGTGCTGGAGGTGAGGGAATGCTCTGCAGTTCCCATCCTCTTCCAGTCCTTCCAGCAGCTCCCCCCACCAGCCCAGCTCGGGCTGGTGCCCGGGGTGGCTCGCTGTCAGGGCCTATTAATGCCACACTGGCACCTGCCCTGCTCCTTCTAAAGGCTTCCCCTTCCCTCCAAAACACCAGCCTCGGGGTGTCACTCCCAAGACACCCCCTCTTGGGAAGGAGATGGGGAGGAGGGGGCAGCTCTCTTAAAAGGCCAAACAAGAATAACAGAACCTATGTCGGGATCGCTGGGCTCCAGCAGACATCAGCAGAGCCAGCGGTTGCTAGGAATAACAGTTAACTCCTTCCTACCCCCCACACCCCCCACCCCACCACCCAGGCCCGGCACCCCCCTGGCAGAGGTGGCCCGGGGAGGCCGCTGGCCATTGGGGCGAGTGGCCAAGTGGAGCTCGAGGTCAGGGACACTCTGGGGGAGGCAGGGGACAGGGCCGGGGTGGCTCACCATGACATAATGTCTCTGCATCTCTGTCTTCTCACTCACCAGCTTCTCACATTCCAGCTTCAGGCTGTGAGGAGGATCCACGGCTTCACTCACGGACCCACATCTCCTGTCCTGTCCCCCCCCCCCCCCCCCACATCTCCTGTCTCATGGGGCTGCGGGGGTGTCACACACACCCCTCCCTGGGGGTCCCCGAACCCCTGCGGCTGTGTCCCCACAGCCCCCGCACCCCCCAGAGGGTCCGTCGATCCCCCCCAGAGCTCCGTCCCCACGGCGCTGCTGCCGTCCCCTCCG